TACAAGGAAGGACAATTTGGCAACAATTACTTGGATACCCCAATGTGACCTTTGACTTCCTAGTATAGCTGCTGTTTTACATTTATGTTACACCCACATGAAAGTCAAGCCAACAGATGAGCAACATCTGTCTGCCTGTAGCCTCTGTCACTCACCAAAAGAGCCATCAGGGAGAGGTAAAATGATGAGGAAAAGAGCTAATGAACAACAAACAGTTCCAGCTGCTGTAGCTGTGCCTTTTTGACTTTAGTGACACCCGTTACTGTTACTATGATCTCTGCTAAACAGCCCTGTCCCCCAAAACTCTTACCCTAAACACAATCTTCCGTATGGAAAGATGGCTATTTTGCAGCAAAGGGGCAACAGAAACTTGAAGACTGCTGAGCCAAAACAGATCACTTCAAAGCGGCATATTTAACGCTTGCTAAATTTTTCATCACAGTCGCTAAATATCCTGGGGAAGCAGAGCTTTTGAAGTTGCTGTGAGACCGGGGATGTTCTCCATACAATTCTTTTTCTCCTCCCTCTGCTGTGCTAAAATCCCCAAACCTAAACACAGAACACATATCCAGTTCACACTATCTGTGCCAACATGCACGCACTAACTGAGAGCAACCAAAAAAACAAATAAGTCAGATTAATTAAAGTCTCACAGATTTAACTCCCTGTTGCTGTTCCAGTTAAGAAAATTTATTGTAAACTCGTTTCCAAGCAAAAAAGTCAAGCATGTTTGGAAATGTGTCAGAGTCCGGATAAGCCTTTGAAATGCGACAGGCAGGATGAACGAAACAAACGCTGAGTGATGATGAAATGAGTAAAACTGGGTTAACTGTACTAGTCGTTACTGAAACCGGGAAGAAATGTGGTGAATTGACATTTTCAGAGAAGGAATGTAACTGAAAAAAAAAACCTGAACTGTTGAAATTGTGGAAATAAAAAACTGCAAAAGAATATTTCCTTTACACAATGCAAAAGATGATTTAAAGCAATCAGAGACTTAAAAAAACATATTAGGTTTCAAAATGCTAAAAAATGTATAAATCAGTTCACGGCTTTGGAAAAAAGTAATGTGGTCCGAGGAAAGCAGAGGAAGAAAGTTGAACGCCCATCAAATGCAATACAGTCCATGGGGTGGTGGTATAATCCAGAAGTAACTCAGTTGGTAAGTTCTACATTCAAAATAAAACATAATATGACCTAAGGACTGAACTAATTGCCTAAATCAAATTACTGACCAGATTTCTTCCAAACAAAATGTGGATTTCTCTTGTTAGCATAATGTACAATATAAGAGCTCAGTGAGGTCAAGTTCTTATTTTTCAGCATAATTAACACCTTAAAGGTTTGGAACGCTCATATATTCTTACATTTGCAGTGGTTGTTAGTAGGAATGAATGCTAAAAGTTGTACTCAGAGGGCATGAAATACCGGTGCATCCTTTCCAGGAACTAGAAGGGAGCCACATCCTAGCTGAGTTTCAGACGGCAGGTTTTAGAGTCCTATTTCCTGATATTTGACATCTCGCCATGGATTGGATAACAACAAAGCAACTTTACCACCGAGTTGCAAAGTTGCAGTGGATGTTTTATTTCCACAGCTAACACAAGCCTGGAGGAGTTATGCCGGGTGGTGGAGTCGCTAATGCTAACAGTTAGCTTTTACTAGCCAATACGTTCTCTGCTGTTTCCTGGATGCTGAAGCAACAACATTTTCCCCGTTGCGAGTTAAGATGGTCGACTCCATGAATGTTAAATGACAGTGTGACGTAGATCTGTCGGGCTTCTATTTTCTATTAGAAGCTAATGCAGGAGATATGGGGAAGGAGACTATTTTCATGTTCAGCCTGCATGAAAAACTCAGTGATTATAATCATGAATAATTAAAAAATGTTTTATCAGTGTTCTACACCTTTAATAGTTTGTTACAGGTATCACTTTGCAGAGGGAGTGCTTGATATTTAACGTAACCTCCACACTACCACAGGAAGTTAGAAAGGCACAAATCTAAGCATGATTATACCGATTTTAAAAGTGTCCCCATTTCTTTTTCTTTCCGACTTATTCCAGCCACTCTAAGTTTAGCTTGGAAATAAATATGGAAGTTAGAATTTTTAAATTAAAAAATGGCAGGATTACATCCAACACAACGAAGCTCCAATAAACCAACTGTGGCTTTTAAAAGGTCAAACAAGATTACGTCCTAAAACCGTGGAAACGCAATCACTCCAACTTGACTAGCCTCACTTTCAAATTCACTTAGTTCAGTATTTATTGGGAAAACATATGTCTTGCTTTCTTTTTACTTTATATTATAATCAACTGATCTCTAAATGCATGAAAACCCACGAACCAAACAAATAATATAGCCTTGAAGGCATTGAAACCTGAGTGATGGAGATGCAACATGATCAAAGGAAACTTTACGGAAAGAGTCAAAAGATTATGGAACTACCGCCAATAGACTGATACGGGTAACTGCAACCACAAGGGTGAGCCAAAGGTGCAAGTAGGGTAGGGACAGTGTGTTACAGTTCCCACTATTGTGTGGCCGTAAATGTGCTGTTTTTCTTTTTTTATCATTGTGTTTGTTTAAAATGGCGCATTTAAGTTCCAACCAGTTAAGGACACACCGGTACAAGACATCGCTGGAGGGTGGCGTCCCCGTTGCTGTGGAGACGTGCCGGGATTCCCTCGCTGTGGACGTTCTCTCCGATGACGTCATTGGGAAGTCCCCACTCCGAATTTCTGCAGGCACACCTGCAGCTCATCTTGGACTGAGTGTGTTTGTTCCCATGAGGGGATAAAAGGAACGCTGGATACACGCCCGAGGAGCTACTCCTAACCCATGAGTAGTCTCCATTTCTGCTCCGTTCTGGACACCCTAACTTTGTAGAATACGGTTGTGATTACGTGCGCGTGGTTAGAGGAAAGCCTCTGCATGGTATTCTGCTTAAGCCTGAGTCAGTGGTTCCCAATCGCTTCATACTGGTATCTTTGCCTTGACAGAAAACTAATAATTTGCTGTTCTTTAAAAGGCTCGTTTTGTTTGGCTGCAGAGTGCCTTTTTGCTTATAGAAGCTCTTCGAACCCCGTACCAGCTTAAGTAAATATTTCAATTGAAAAGCTACCAGAGATCTGTTGATTTTAGTTTGTTTTCCAGCTTTTAATTAAAAGCTGTGATTTTTCTTTAGTACCTTTTTATTTGACTCAGGAGTTTTCGTTGTTGGGCTGTGTCTAGTGGCATTTGTTAGAACCTCCAGCCCCAAGAACAAGGGTAAGCTGTGTAACAAAAATAATGTGTGTTTTAATTAAATAAGGAAAATGTTTTTATACCCAGGTTTCTTTCTCATCTTATCTTATCTTTTCTCTGTCCTCTTAGCTTCTTAAAGTAAGGGGTAAAGCATAAGTTAAAACCTAACACAGTGAACGAAGAACAAGGATGAAAGAAAGCAAACGGCATGCCAGAGGCAACAACAGCGGCTGGCAGTGACTGATACAGCAGTCAACTAGCGTGCACATGCACACGCAGGCACACAGTTTTTAAACTGCAGGTCCACAGCTCTGGGTTGTTTGGTGGCAAAGGCTGTGGCACTGGCCCCTGAGCTGAGTCCTCTTGCCACGAAGGAGAGCTCATGCCGAGCAGTGTGCCAAGGCCTGCTGATCTGGGCGAGGTGAGTCAGAACCTGTTAACATGACTGGTGTCCCCAGTCTGACACACTGGGTTGTCTGACATGGCCATGTGCACATGAATGTTATACAAGTGTGTGTGTGTGTGTGTGTGTGTGTGTATGTGTGTGTGTGTGTGTGTGTGTGCGTGTGTGTGTGAACTCTCTCTCCTCCCTTCTAACCCTGCCAGCACTCCCTTTCCTCTCATCCAGATAAAATCCTTTCAGACACAAATTTCAATTATTCACCTCATCCAAATAATGCCATGTGACAAGAATTATCCCTACTGTAATAATCCACTTAACTGGGAAAGAGCAGCTCATCAAAAAGAGAAAAGGGGTTGGAAGAGAGGGTGGTGGTGGTGGTGGGACTTGTCAACCAGTCTCGAATCAGGACCTTCGTAACTAGAATTTCTTCCCTTTTTAAGGAGGCAGTCTTCAAGTGCACTGGGATGATGAAATTGAAGTAAATTGAAAGAAAGCCTGGGAGAATGCTCCCACAATCAATAAAGCCAGGATTAAATTAGCCTTGGCATGAAGGGATGATGGGGGGAAGATGAAGAGTGAATGGTGGCGAATGACATTGAGACATGCCGGCTGAACAAAGCAACCTGGGTGCTGCGCCCATACAAGGACAGTGAACGTACCTGGGATGGTTTCCATCACATTTAGCAACAACTAAACACTTCCTTTTAAACAAGTAGTACAAACAGCAACTGATGCCGATTGCTGTTAGATGACATCATCGTAGTGTTTACGGTACTACTTGACTTCTTTCTAAGAAGAAACAATCTATTAAGGATATTTGTTCAGAACCATTCTGTCCTATCTGAAAACAAAGTCATTAAACTAACCAACATTTGAGGGGAAAAAATAACCCATTTAATCAGAAAACAAAAATTTTCAGTCAAAGTTGTTCATGATCTGCTCCAATCACAACACAGGGATATTAATGTGATACTAAAGTGTTAATTGGAAGCTTTTTATAGTTCTCCTGGGAGGAATTGTTACGCAGTCAAATTATCCAAATAAAAACACACGGTTAACAAAATAACTTAAGAGTAAAGCTTCACTGATTTTACGAGTAAACATTCAAGCAAATCGGTGAAATTAAATATGTCCACAGAAACTTTCAGATTACCAGAAATTGCATTAATCAATCATCAAAATCTGAACCTTTATAAGGATCAGAGTGTCAACACAAAAAATGTCATTAAATGAGAAGGTTGTTTGATTCTGCTTATTCTAAACTCAAACTGCATTGATTTAATTTGCTATTTTCTTTTTAAATCCATCCCATTTTAAATTAAAATGTGAAGTAAATTCTGACACCTACCAGTGCCTCTCTGGGTTGAGCAGTTCCTTCTAAAGGCAGAAGGCCAGCCTGCAAAGATGAAATAATAAGAAATCAGTAGTGTGATAGAGCCATCTGTTGGAGGATAAAGGTAGTGTTGGTTTACAAGTTACCCTTACAACAAATTCTAACACTTTAGCAGAAGAATTAGAAAAATCTGTAACTGCACACAAAAAAAAATCACGCTGAATGCAAAAAGTTAAAAAAAAAGTTTTGGAAACTGGGATTTACAGTAAAAATAATTCTTTAAGTTGTTTTCTGATTGAATTAACCCATAAACATGAGATGTGATTCATCTTGCATATGATACAAATCCTATTCAATTTTTAATCATTTTAAGTCTTTTTGAAGACAGCTACATCAAAAGTGGAAAAGGTGTTATGGAAACATTTTTCATCTAAATTTGTTTTTCAGAAGTTTTAATGATACTGGAAAATCTACATGATTGTTTCAAGCAGTATATCATTCAGTTGCTTAGAAAGCGCTATTAATAGGTCTGGAATTTACTTCAAGTGTAACATTTACATTAAAAGACAGCTTTGTGTACAACAGTGTGCAACCAAGCTCACAATGCAAATATAACAAGTCAACCAGATATCAGGGACAGCACATCTGGCAAAATCAAATGTTTGTTGCATTTTTTAAGCAAGATAGCCACTGGTGAGACAACATTTTAAAAAAGTATGAGTTTCATAAAAAATATAACTAAAATAAAAACAGAGCTAAGTACATAAACTTACCCAGATGGTGACATAATAAAAAATAAATAAAACATTACTACAGCACATCTCAAGTCAAGATGTTTATCGACTAGTTTGGGATGACATATGAGAAACTTCAGAACAGATAATGTGTGACGTCCTTTCCAAACAATTAGGGGTGCACCGATTGCAGTTTTTGGCCGATTACCAATCTTGAAAAAACCTGACTTACCGATACCGATTTTTTGCCAATACTGATTTTGTCTTAACTAAAAGCAGATTATGTCAATGCTTCATTTTCCTTTTATTGACAAAATCAATATGAATACTTGTGAAACAATACCAGTTTTAACTGGACATGAAGTCATGTTCTCAAATATAAATGAACATATTTAGCATTGCTGTTGAATTTCAAAATCATATTTGTTCCTTTAGACTTTCATTTTTCTAACTTTGAAAACAAAACTTTTGTACCTGCTTTGACACACTTTAAAAAAAATTCTATAGCAATTATTTGCTTTAACATTAACTAGGGGCACCAGCCCCCCACGACCCTGTGTGGATAAGTGGGTAACAAAAATGGACGGATGGATTAACTAGGGGTGCACCGATTGCAGTTTTTAGCCGATCACCAATCTTGAAAAAGAAAACCCGAGATCGGGGCCGATAGACCGGTGCACCCCTCCAAACAGCTATTAACCTTCGGTTTGGAAAGAATGTTTTAGGTGTTTTTAGGTTACAAATTAATTAAAATAATCAGAGCAAATTAAACATGTATTATTTTAATGTAAACAATACAAAAACTGCATAAACAACATAATTTCATGTTGCATCATTAACTGTATATGACGTATAAGTTTGAAATCTGAGACCAACGCACACCAAGACATCTGTCACTTTCTACTTATTAACCTAGTTTAGACAGAACACAATGCTCCGTTTTATATGCCATGGGTAACATTTGCTTTCTCAAATAGTCCTGTAACTGTAACGACAAATGAATTGTGCTCTGATTAGATGAGCTGCAAGATTCCATCTATACCAAACATTGTAATGGTCGTTTGTCCGGCCATTCAAGTCAAGAGTGGGTTTGCAAAAAACAGATGCATCCCGAAAGAGTGACCTGATACCATGCCATGACAAGATGACAGGAGACAAGTGGAAACACTACGCAACATTTGATCAAGATAAATAACTAATCTGCAAATTAAACACGCCACAATGTTTGTAAAAACGTGTAGTCAAACCTTATACCCCTTGGTGTCCGCTTCTTGATAAAAACGTGCGAGAGATGCAACTTTTTAAACCTAACATAGTTAGCATGCTAACTAGCAAGCACGCTACAATCTATTAGCTGAGCAATTCTTGAATAAATTCATGAAATGTAGACATTTAAAAGCAACAGACTACAAAAATACAGCCACACAGTCAGTAGCTTTATCTGGCCACGAATAAGTCTTAGAGGTACAGAAGGACCTGTGTTGGTGGATCAGGTTGCTCGGTGGACGCCATCTTTCTGTCCATTTATTTACAGTACAGGAGGACTGACTCGTGTTCGATTGCTTTTCCTGAAACACTGATCATTGATCACAGAGACAACTTTCTGTGTAAACAAAACCAACAAAAAGTAATCGGTTAAGGAGTTGCTGGCTGGGTAACATTTGATTTTTTATTTTAGTGCTGCACTTTTAAAAATAGACTGTCTTACACAAATTGAACATACAATTACATTTACCGTGCAAACTAAATACATAAACAAACAAATAAATAAATAAAAATGGTTGTTATGATTCCCACTTTTGGGGCCATGATTTTGGGCTCTTGAAATGAAACTGCATCCCCAATTGTCAGTCACAAATAGTTGATTTTCTAAATCTGAGACACACATACCCTATGCGTGCTTTTGCAGACAGTTTAGCATCAGCCATTTCACATTAATTAATTTTTTTATTATTCTTTTTCAGGTTTATTTGATTTTAATTGTACACGTGGCCAGTAGTTCCCCCTCTTAAATAATAATAAAAACCAGAACGCGCATCTATCGTTTATCCGCTTGTGGTATTAAAACTACATATCCCAGCAGGCATAGCGCTTCACTGGCGGTTCAAGAAGAAGTGAAAAGTGAAGTGCTTTAGCACCGTGGCTTCTCAAAGTAATTGAAGATAGTGTAGTTAAATTAATATAATGACAGATGGGAAAGCGTGCAAAGTGTGCAATTTCACACGACAGACATCATATGGCGTTGCTGTTCCTTCGTTGGATGAGCTAAAGAAAAAAGGTGTGTTGACATGGCTTTTCTTTATATTCTTTGACAGAAAACTCCGATTTTGTATGTTTTCGTTTAGTTTCGGTGACCCATTTTGCCCATCTGAGCTCAGCTTGCTACTACAAACTCAAAACAGTGAAAACGAAAGAAACACGACTGCTGTAAACCAAAAGTGAGACCTTGGTGGGTTTTACCGCATGCCTCTGATAATCATGAACGGATTATGTACAGAAACAGTTCAGATTCCATCATGTTCAAACCTGCAGCTGCACACGTTTCTGAGCTTGCACATTCCTGGGATTACAGTCACCTTCACTGCAAACACGCAGCCTCTTTCTATCATATCATTAAATATTTGCCGACACCTGCTAAAGCTGTATGTATGAAATATTTAAATATCAAACCACTCAAAAAGAAAAATGAAATGTAAGATGTGACTTGACTTTTGACCTAAATGATTGTTCATCCGGTTTTTGTCGGATCTTTATATAAAAGTAAAGAGATCTCCAAGTTTAAAAGTATTTGTGTTTTTCCTCCAGGATGTGAGTTTCTCGGGTTCAGCCCCAGTGACCCAGTCACAGTGGTCCTAGAGCATGATGGGACGATAGTAGAGGACCAAGGTTATTTTTTGTGTTTACCATCAAACACAAAGTTCATGCTGCTGCACAACAATGAGACATGGGCTCCATCTCGCAAGAGTAAGCAGGACCATTTGTGCACATCTGGACTGATGGTTTTTGTAACAACAAAAAGTGTAATTGGGTTTTGATTCCTACTTCTCTTTAAAGTCGATGGTGGCACAGCTTGGATGGCGAGGGAGTCCATGCTGCTGGAGGCTGATACGGTTGATGCCTCCAGCGCTGCAGCACCGTGGGTGAATTTGGCCCAGCAGCTGAAGCAGGATCTCACCAGCATTATCCTCATGTCTGAGGCAGACCTCCAGGTACCAACATGTTTCCTGGTTTGATCTCCATTCTTTTGAAAAAGAAAAAGTTGTAAAAACACAGTTACATGAACATTTAAATCACATATGTCAGACACAAGGCCTGCGGGCCAGATGCGGCCCACGGAGCACTTTTATGTGGCCCGCGAGATATGGGAAATATCAAAAATATATTAAAACTGGCCCGCTGGCCGATTTTACCTCTAAGACCACAACTCCCATGATGCTTTGCAGCGTTAGCGCGGAGCCGACGCGCCCCCTCCTTTGTTTTTTTTTTTTCCAGCGTCTGCTGTCGGTGTCTGCAGCTCCGCTGTCACGGACAAACTACACTCCTCTCACTCAGCGCCGAGTTCACTCAGCTATTTTCTGACGTTGAAGCGCAGAAACGGAGATTCTAGCCGCTCAGTAATGTGTTCACGACTGAAAGAGAAAGTTTTCAAACTAACGTCCAGACAGAGCTGATATAACTCCAGCGAACAGCGACACGCTCAAACCAGCATGACTCTGTGGCTGCTGTCGTGTTTCCTCCCCGACTCACAACAACGTGGTCAAGCTGCTCAGACATGTTCATCAGCACAAACCTATGTGAGCACCTGTTGTCATCTAATGTTGTCATTATTATGATGAAGATGAACAAAACAACAGGAGTCTCCTCCTCAGCTCAGATCAGCCCCATGATGCAGGTATCTGGCTGGAACAGGTGAGCATCACAGTAAACCAGTGGAGCAAACTGAGCTTTAAATATGTTGGTTTTATGCTCTTTTTCTGCTCCAAAACATGAAAGTTAACAGGTGAGATGTTGCATTTTCATTTAAGATAAAATGATATTTTTATTTTGTTGTTGGCCCATGAGAAAAGATTTGACCTACAGTAAACAGGAAGTGGAAAGGCTGCAGATAGTTGAATAGAACAGAAAATCCCTTTATTGTTCCTCAGTGGGGAAAGCTAGACGTCACAGCAGCGATGACACTTATTACAGGAGAAAAAAAGGAGAATAAAAAATAAGAAAAATGAATAAACAAGAAAACATAAATCCTGAATAGATTTTAAAAATGCTGATTATACCACAAGTAATGAATACCACTGATGCCTTTTATTTAAAACGGACTTGCTCGTGTGTAATTTGGTTATTCTACATTCAGTGTTAATGCAGAAATAAGTTTGTTTCCAAATTTAAAGGTTCAAAATTGCATATATGTTGATAAAGAAAATGTGCAAATTTGACGTCACTTTTTCAAAAAATATTAAGTTTGGCCCTCGACTCCGTCCCAGAGTTTCATTTCGGCCCCGTGTGAGTTTGAGTTTGACACCCCTGGTTTAAATGGTTATAAATGATCATTTCACACAATTAAATGTGTTTATAGGGAGCTGCTTCATGTATGTGTTGTTTAATCTGTATTTCCAGTCTTTAGTGGATGCTCCTTGCTCTCAACTTGCCTCTGCTTTGGGCTTCCAAGACAAAAAGGCTGAAGAGCTCCAAGAGACACTGCAGAGGACTTTGGATCGAAAAGAGGAAGAGAGGCAGTCCAAAGCTCTGCTCCAGCTGTACGTCAAAGCTGTGGAGAAGGAAGACAGGCTGCAGGAAGGGCCGAGCCATCAAGGTATGACTGTTATTATGTGGTCATGTTTATTTAGTAGTACGCTTTAGAAAATAGTTATTTTAAAAATCTATTTTTTACCACAAATCCACAAAAGTTCTTACAGTCTTTGGCTTTGCTTTAAGACTCTTGTGTATTTTTTTAATGAAGACAATTGAACTATTTTTTTAAATGATTTTAGATACAGCCATTTTCTTAACAGAAACTTAATCTAGGATTTGTTTATTTATTTATTTTTTTTAGTTTTCTGACTGAATCAGTAAAGAATCACAAGCTTATGTGGCTGTTGAATCTCTATAATAAAACTGTTCACTGTTATTTGCTGCTTTCGAAACATTTTTATTTACCGATTGTAATATTAATATGAAATTTAAAAATGTATTTCTGTAGAGATGCAACAATTTTGGTTTTGAGAGTTGAAGCAGTTGCAGTGGTAGCAGATCTCCATTTATTTCAGAAAACTATAATAAAAAGGGTGTGTGTGTGTGTGTGTGTGTGTGTGTGTGTGTGTGTGTGTGTGTGTGTGTGTGTGTGTGTGTGTGCGTGTGCGTGTGCGTGTGTGTGTGTGTGTGTGTGTGTGTGTGTGTACTACATGCTGAGGACCATTTTCCCTACAATTTGAAGACATTTTCAATTTTTTTGAGTCCTCACTTTTTTTAGAAGCTTACCAGTTGGTTTTAGATCTATGGTGTGAACTAAGTTTTAGTTAAGGTTGGGGTTAGGAGTAGATCAGCATTGGTCAGGGTTAGGGTTAGGGTATGGGTTAGGCACAGTGGAGTCACAAAAATGAATGGAAGTCAGTGGAGGGTCCTCCCTATGATAGAAAGACAGACGTGTGTGTGTGTGTGTGTGTGTGTGTGTGTGTGTGTGTGTGTGTGTGTGTGTTTCTGATTGGTCAATCATCAATTGGGCTATTTATGCTGAAAACTGCTAGCCTGGCAAGCCAGACTAAATAAATGTATTATTTAGTCTGGCCATGCTCCATTGACGGCTCTCGGTTGTGGGGCGGGTTCTACCGTAGTCTTTCAAATGATCTCCGCATTCCACTGGACAATGAATGTGACATACTCTTGTTTCACTCTGTTGCATCATCCCACCCACCAGGCATATAGAGTGCTCTGATTGGCCCACAAAGCGGACAAAGCTCTGTGATTTGTTCACTAAGCAGATAGAGCACTATGATTGGCCCACGATTACGGACCAATCACAGCTCTTTATGTGTTTGAAATCCCTCTAGAGAGTTGTGATTGGCTAGCCAGAGTCCTGGTAGGAGCTGTTGAGGTTCCAATGGAGCATGCCTAGACCATTCTTTGCAAAGCAAGAATTTGGTCTAGTTCACTAGGCTAGAAAACTGCTCCAGGTAGAGGCAGAAATTAGGAGTAAAAATGTTTTTGTTTTATCTTAAAGTTATATTTATATTTCAAATTTAAATAAATGGATTAATCCAAAAAGGAATAAGATGTAACTTTTCATTTCAATGAAATATTAATTAGGTGAGATCATTCGCTGAATCGTATTGAACATATTTCACGCTTCATTGGTTTTTGGAGTGAACTGCAATTGCACCTTTTGGTCACTAGATGGAATCATTGTTGCTGCTCAGTAATCCCACAACTTTTACGGATTTACAATCATTAATCCCTGAGAGAAAACCTGTTTTCAATATGTCAGGTCCTGTCGACGTGGACGTGCCGGACGGAGTGGAGGTGGACTCTGTTTCTGGATTCATGTCCAGAACTCTGATGGTCCTGAAAGGGAAAACAAGCCCGGAGACCAGACTCTCCACCGAGGATTTGCAGGTGTTTCACTCATCAACGATCCTCGTCACCAATAATAAAGAAGTAGATGAAACTGATTTTAATAGATCTGAGCAGCAATCTTCTGTCAGGACTGGCCTATATTCCATAACGGTCTTACGTCGGTCCTGATGCGAGTCTTACGCTGTGGTTCTCGCCCTCTTCCCACCCCACAGCATCTTAACTGACGTGTTTACAACTAGAAGTACATCACTTCACACCGTTACCATTAAAATACACCCCAAGTGATCTCACACCCTCACCCTCACTTTATGTTTAAATCAATCCTTCAGCATTTCTGTTTGCAAAGACCAAATGTCAGAGTTCTCTTCTGGGTCTGGTTCTGTCAACACTCTTCTATGTACTCAAACACAAGTCGTTACCGGAACCCAGCCGCTACCTGCAATTACCTCCAAGTCATTTCTGGTGCTGCTGCAGCCCAACCTGTGATTTAACACAATGTACATGCTTTTAGTTTTACTTGCAGATTTGACCAAAAGCATGATGGGAAATAGATGACTAATGGTCAGGAGTGAGTGACCCGCTGCAGCTCAAACAGGTTATTATCCGCCAGGCGGTATGTCAGATGAGCGAACCGTACTTAACGCTGCCCCTGAACATTTCTGCACACACGCTGATGTGGTATGAGTGATCAGTTCTGTGTGTTTGGAGTGTGTTCACACCTGAGCTGTGCACTCGATATCAGACCACCTAACAAAATGTCAGCAAGTCGACGCGTAAATATGAGCTAACGCTGCAAATCACGACACATTTCAAGCTCCTTCTTCTGCAAAGCTCTGATTTATAATTTTCCAACGTTTTAGCATCAGTTTGGAACATGTTCCCCTACTTTTATGAGTCAGATGAAGTCTCACACGTCCCATGTTTCCAGGATTAAAAATATCTCATTTTTCTGCTTAGATGGTCATGTCGAAAGGACCGGAAGTCATGCGGCAGGTGCTGGGCTGGGACTCGGAGAGGACCACTGCGCTGCTGCAGGCCTGCAAAGCAGAACTGTCCACACGCCTGCAGCAGATTCAGGCCATGCAGTCCATCAGCAACACGCAGCTGGATGGCAGCAGACAGCCTAATGCAACAAACACAGAGGAGGCTGCTGAAACTCCAGGGAGCTCCTAGGCCAAGAGGCTTCACCTGAGCCGAGACTGATAAGAATTCATACTACCTGCCTCAGGGTCAGCAGAATGGGATTTGCTGTGTATTACTGCTGCTGTACATTCATTTTGAGATGTTGATATTTTTTTTAAAGCTGCAAAGCTTTTTGAGTGCTTCGAGACGAGGCAAGTTATAGAAATTTATTTCAAGCAAGATGATTTGAACCACTTGGATTGGTGTTCAGCGGGCTTTTATTTGATGTTTGTCGTCTACAGAAGAAAGAATTTATGTAAAACTTAAACCAGCAGGCAGAGAGTTCCGGTGTCCCTTAAGGTGTGAAACATAGCTTTTCTTGGTCCAAAGGTAACAACACTGCAGCCCAGGTTCTCCAGCAAATGCATTCCATCTTTCTTAAGCCAATTCTTTTTATCTAGGTGTGTCAAGTCACTGTTCAAAAATAAAAGTTGAAAATGTGATGTATCCAGGGTCTAATAATCATTTTTAGATGTGCAAACGTCTTATAGTGGAACGTTTGAAAATAGGTGAAAAAGATACCTTAGAGTAGCTGAAAGGGATTTTTGGATATCAAGCAAATGAGATGATTTGGTTTCTTTTGGGAATAATTTGCATGTGATATTAAACTCTAAATTATTCAGGATAGTTTAGGGAAAAGTGAAACATATAAATCAGATTCAAATATCTTATTTCCTGTAAACTTTCAACTCTTGGCAGTTTTCTGTTTCTAAACCGCTATAAACATATTTTTCTGCAGTGTCAATTAGAAAGAGGCACTGTTTTCATTCAAATGTTTCACAGATGCAAACCTCAGGGTGGAAGATGTGTGACTAATAAGGACTTTTGGAAAAAACTCAAAAAAAAAAAACCAAGTCACAGCAGGATAATGCTGTTTCTGCACGAGTTCTCTTTAAAACCATCTCTTACATCCCATTATAAAAGTTATGCATCGGTCTGGTGGCTGTGTGATGTCAGACTGATGTGTGCAGGTCCGTGTGACTCACACACGAGGTAGCTTTCTTACACTCTTGAACAAATCAACACAAATGATGGTCTTAAAGAGACAATGTGTCGTTTTTACCATTGATTTCTGAAAAAATCCATCAAAAGCTCGAAAAGTGGTTGCAGTAACCACATTTTACCACAGGATGTCATTTTTACTTCATTTCGACATAGTGCAACTTTAAAATGGGCTTTTCAGTGTTAGGCTTGTTAGCCATTTGTATTTTGTATCCAGTAAGCATGATTACCCAGAGTTTTGTTTTTTTAAGTCAAATTTCTGCCCAGATCCAACAAAAGTAGTGTTAAACTGGTTCAGAAGGTAGGCATTGTGATTAAAAGGTGTTTCTGTCACATGCCAACTGATCAAAGAGGCATTTTTTTTGTAATAAAATAGTCTCTGGTGCTTTTACAGGTCTGAATCTTTCTCCTTCCTACGCCAGTTTGTGCATGAGTGACAGAATAGCAGACACACAAGCTCTGAGCCTCATTGGCGACATGGGGCTGCTGGGTATTTTCAACTGCTGGCTAATGGGATTCGTGGTGTGCTTATCTCCTGTGGAATTGGCCCCATCTTGGCTGAACACTTAGAGTGAAACCACATCGGAGCAGTGAGCTGTGCCGTCGTATGTCACGCTTTCTGTAAGAAGCAGATGATGACTTAACGTGGCTCGGGTTAGATGTACGGGCTCGCTCTGTGAGCAACCAGGTGACCTCAGGACTGGAAGTGTTTACCCCTCCTTTCCACCAGAGCCGTCAGCAGCAAGTTACTGCCTTCCCACGAGACGCGAAGCAGCAGGGGAGCAGCTGTCACTGACAGAGCATGAAGTCACGCGACATTAGCAAAATCACGCGTGACTTCGTCAGTAAACACAACGGCCGTGTTCGAGTTGAGCTGCGCCTCGCCTGGAAAACAGACGAGAGCAAACGGAAGCAGCAGGGGGAGTGGCTGAAAGCCGGCATTTAAGTCGGACACAATTTCCTGCATGTGTAGCTCGCGGGTGACGATGGCTGAAGATATCGTGTTAGCGTTCACACTTGTTTAATTTTCAATTTTAATTCTGGTGCCTGTTAGCAGCTGAAACATATCCTCACGTGCTTGTGGATATCATATATTGTATATGAAGACATGACTGTAATAATAAGTAAAGGTTACCAGCTGTAGGTTTAGTGTGCTCATAGGAAATGTGACAAAAGAACACAAAACACATTTCTCTTTAAGGCCTATATAGTTGTCATCATCAACATAACATGACTTACAGAATACATGTGACCAACTAACATTTCATGTTCTACCACCGGATGTTTGGATCAAAATATGAACCAATCAGATCTTAGATCAGGTGAGAGCCAGGCGTTTCCCGTCATCCCCTAGGTTTTGCAGCCGAGGGAGAGCAACTGCAGCGCCTTGCTCCAAAACCTGCGGCCGCCTAGATCTCACGAGGTTATCGTTGCCTACGTATGCATGACGTCAGAGCAAGTCGGCGTCAAGTCGGACACAAATCTAACCGGCATGCACTGCTCGCCGATCACCGCTGGTCTAATCTGCGCATAACTGGCTCATCTCGAACACAGCCAACAACAAGCAGGAGAAAACTACAACATGGCTCACATAACTCACCATCTTGCCCCAAAACCGCAGATACGTCACTCCATGCGTTATCTTTCTTGACGTTGTCTTTATAAAAACTGTGACTGGGATCAAACAGGATTGGGTACTTCTGCACTTCAGTAATCAACCTTTTGTCGTCCATTATGGACAAACAAAGGAGGCCGCTAGCTAGGTGATAACTTTTTTTTAAAGTAAAGCAACCGGAAGGCAGTACGTTTCTTTATTCTGAAAATCTCGGGAAGCTTCGCTCTGTTTCCGTGTCCGATTTCCTTTGTTTCCTTCCCCCAAAATGTCGAACTTGACCCATTTCAGAGGCGTAGCGCGTAGAAAATAGAACCGTCGCGTAAGGGCCGCGACATGCTGCTCCTGAGACGCGGCCGACTCGCGCTGCTGACGGCTCTGGTGGAAAAGGTTCTGTTAGCCACAGCGGTTCCTATCAGCAGCTATGACGTGCTTCTGCAGTAATGTGCTGCTGACGGCTCCAGTGGAAAGGAGGGGTTAGTACCCCATCTGGGCAGGTGACTTAATCCACTTTATTGTTCTGTTCTGCTCAGCGGCAAACTCCATATGGGTCAGGACTTGCTTTTTTTGTGAATGTTAGACAACAGAAAAGCATTCTACATTTTAAAAAGTCAGATTTACAGAGAAAATTGGCTGAAAACAGCAAAAAAATTATAAGGGAAAGTGCCGACTCAGCTGCATTTTAAAGTGACGACGTGTATTTTCCATGGTGATGGGGGCAGTGCATACCTATATCATTGCAAGCAAGTGGTATTTTTGTGTTTGAGTAAGACCTCACAGACGGATGGCCATTTAGGTCAAAAATCCCTGGAAGTGCAATTTTCGAACAAGTACTTCATCAGATCGTGCAACTTCCAGGAAAATTACAAGCATATCAGACTCTCTTTCATCACTGGCAACAAGTGAAGACGTAAATGTGTAAAACAATTTTTATGAATGGTGAAAGTTTAGTGACGTTTGTCAGTAAATGCGTTTTGTCCTCACAGGCTCCCGTGGAAGGAAACATGGCATATGATATGGCGTCGCTCAGAGACTTAGACCCGCTCCCATGTATTTTAGATCTGATATGTTTGGTTATGTGTTACAAAGCCACCAATAATCATTGGGCATCATTTAATTCTTATTTTCAACAACATTTTGATGGACTTTAGAGAGATTAATGGTAAAAACTACACACTGTCACTTTAAACAGATAAAAAATGTCCAGTGAGATTATTTTAAAGAAATATTCATACTTTTCTTCCCCATTTCCTAACAGGACATAGAAAGAATGCTCAACCACAGATTTGAAAAAAAGAAAAGTAAATTTAATTTCTGCAGCCTGGAAAGTGACAAAAAGGTCATAACATGAAGGTTAAATCCCTTTTGTGTGATAAACCAGGCTGACTGACTTTCAAAATAATCTACTTTGGCTTATAAATTAGCCTTCAGCAAAAATACAGCAGAACAACTGGTCAGATTCAGTTTTTTGAACATTTTAAGACAAACAATATTTTTCATAATAGATGTGTTTTAATTGTACTTTAGTGTCACGGAAGACAAATAATTTTTTATTCATTTAATTGTGATGTTATTTAAAACGGTATTTGCTAGGGACAAATAAAATGTAAAATGCAAATTAAAGCAATTTTAACAAGTAGTTCATGTCAGAGTTTCAACACAGAAATCTGACACACCTGAGTAGTCTTAAGATAAAGAAAGGGACTTTGTGCTTGTGTACTTGATCTTCCATCCTTTGTTTTTCCCACTCCAGTCCGATCTGAACGAGACGTGCACCTGGTAACTTCCTGTATCGATGCGACTTGGCGGCGTTGCACCGCAGAAGGGTCCGTACTCTTGTCCAGCTGTGGAAATCTTGCGAAATATACGAAAGAAGTGGATTTATTACCAGTCCGACATGTGTTAAACCTAAATATGCAGGAAACAGAGCATTAAATCACAGTGGGAGTGGAAGCCAGAGACAGATTATCTGCACAGGCATGAGGACGAATACATTGTTTATTCATGTTGTGTGAGTTTAGACTCTCTCAGGACTGACCTTCAACATATCATACGGACAGGGGACACCTGGGTGTCCCTCAATGTCAAACGGAACCAGGAAGTCCAGAACTATTCTGGATCCTTCTGGCAGGGTGATGGTGTGGTCACACATGCTCATGGGTGGGTATGGGTTTGGATAGCCTGGACTGGTCAGAACTCCAGATGCAGACCTAAACTCCTGGTTTTGGCACGGCACTGAAAGGAAAACACCAAATAAATACCCAACTGTGGTCGTGTTGGGACATGGATGGATGACATTTGTAGGGACGAGGAATAATGGAGTGGATAAATAATGAGCTGGAAGATATAAACTGAATGTAAATTATTCGTATAGCTTTATTCCTGAAGGGTTAGGTTGAACCTCTGATGGGTTAAATGTTTAGTCCAGTCTTAAAGGTACTGATGCATCTGCATCACTTGAAGCTGATGGGTTATAAAGTGGTTGGTTTTTTTAATGAAAGAAAAGGTACCTCATTTGAACCGTAATCCTTCCCGGCATCGTAAAAGAGTGGAATCATTTAGACTTGCATTATTGCTCTTTCTGGCAAGTGTGCAGATGTTGTTATGAGCAAAAACAAACGAGCTTTGCAAAGAGGCAGAGATGCTGTAATTCATATAATTAGTACAATCTGTGGGCAGATAATCATTTTGGTCTATTCATTGCATGATTTGTTGTGCCACCCTCTTTCCTCTGGCAAAGTATTATAATTTAAGATGCATCTGCTGTTAATTGTGATTAATTGCCTTGTGCCATTGCACTATTAGCGCTGTACACAGGTATCAATTTTATAGCCATTTTGAAGTTGCTTGTCCCTCAGGAGTCCGCAGTGATTAACCTCCCCTCACACCAGCTGGCAGAGATCAACAACTTCATGCATCAGCTTTCCTTTTCAGACTGAAAGTTAGAACAAACCTGTTAAGATGTAAATATGACCAGGAGCTAACATCAACAGGATGGCTTTTGTGAAATTATGCGAAATTAGCTTTGATGACTTCTGCAAAGGAAAAACTTGCAGTTTTTAAGTTTGTCTTTGGATTAAATTGTCTAAAAAAGTCAGAAACAAACAATCCCCTTTTTTATATTTCACCTGTTGTATTTAAACATACAATACTCTAACTTGGAAGTTAATTTAGTTCAAGAGACCTCACACACCTGTTTACAGAGATCCGTGAGATAAAGCAGCATGTTAAGCTCACAGTGCAGCTTTTCACTTCCTCTGACTGCACCCTGGGCAACATGCCTCTTGAGCTTTGGCTCATTTCCCTCTTACCCGTGCAGGATCTTTTGTTGTCATGGAGAATGTATCCTTGCTTGCATGTGCAGTAATAACCCCCGATGTAGTTGTGGCAAAAATGATCGCACACTTTCTCCCCGTCTGCCGTGGACAAACACTCGTTGATGTCTGTGAGGGAAACGCAGGAGAGAGGAAAAGTCTACACAAGATATAAAACCTAAATATAAATATTAATATAATATAAATATAAAACCATTTTCATCCACATGCATGAGACTTGAAGGGCTCTATATATTAGTTTTAGTTTCTTGTTGCATTAATTGTAATTAAATGTCTGCATCAAATACAATTTTTTAGTCTAGTTCTTAGAAGAGAAGTTATTTAATTATCGTATGATTTATCTGACTGGAAAGCAGCTGGTAGAATGGCAATTGCTACAATTCATTTATGAAAACAGAAAATGTTTACCCTCAATACATCCAAACTTGAATCACAAAACAGGACATTAATTAGGAATCTAATAGAAATTTGTCTTTGAAAATGTTCAAATGAATCTAAATTTTTAATCTTTGTATGTATTTTCTCCAAAGTTTCCTCCAAAAACCACATTCCTGCTGGGATTAATTGCTGTTATCTTGCACATTATTTATTTCTCATATTAAATGCATCTGGCCCGATGTGCAGAATAAATTGCGGTGGGATTATGTGTTGATAATTAGAATTCCTGAACTGTCCATCTCTCCTCAAGCTAAAAGCAAGGATCGGATTTCCAACTATCCTTAAAGCAAGTCCCCCCCCCCCCCCCCCCCCCCCCAACATTATCATGACATGCTTGCTTCATCAGATCATAATGATGCAAGCTCTGATGCTGGAATGAGCGTAGTTATGGCTGCTTGGGAAAAATGACTCAAGAGTTGACAAACAAACTCCAGAAAAATCATTTTGAGACCATATTTACAGCATCAGACAACAAGGATATGCTTTCATGAGCAACGGAACAGCTCATTGATTGGTATTGGGTTTTGGAAGTCAAGGAAAGCTCAGCCTGCCAAAACTTTCAAAAAGCAATTTAAAAAATCTTAACGGACACATGCTGGAGTTTTGCAGCTTTCAAGAGAAAGTGATGTGAAAAAAACTCATCACTTCTAACTTAATATACTGTATATACAGGTGCTGGCCAGTAAATTAGAATATCATCAAAAGGTTGAAAATATTTCAGTAATTCCATTCAAAACGTGAAACTTGTACATTATATTCATGCAATGCACACAGACCAATGTATTTCCGATGTTTATTACGTTTAATTTTGATATTTATAGGTGACAACCAATGAAAACATCAAATCTGGTATCTCAGAAAATTAGAATATTCTAAAGGCCAATGAAAAAATGTTTGTTTCTCTAATGTTGGCCAACTGAAAAGAATGAACATGAAAAGAATGTGCATGTATAGCACTCAATACTTAGTCGGGGCTCCTTTTGCCTCAATAACTGCAGTAATGCGGCGTGGCATGGACTCGATCAGTCTGTGGCACTGCTCAGGTGTTATGAGAGCCCAGGTTGCTCTGATAGTCGTCTTCAGCTCCTCTGCATTGTTGGGTCTAGCGTATTGCATCCTCCGCTTCACAATACCCCATACATTTTCTATGGGGTTAAGGTCAGGCGAGTTTGTTGGCCAATCAAGGACAGGGATACCATGGTCCTTGAACCAGGTGCTGGTGGTTTTGGCACTGTGTGCAGGTGCCAAGTCCTGTTGAAAGGTGAAGTCTGCATCCCCATAAAGTTGGTCAGCAGCAGGAAGCATGAAGTGCTCTAAAACTTCCTGGTAGACGGCTGCATTGACCCTGGACCTCAGGAAACAGAGTGGGCCAACACCGGCAGATGACATGGCACCCCACACCATCACTGACGGTGGAAACTTTACACTGGACCTCATGCAACGTGGATTCTGTGCTTCTCCGCTCTTCCTCCAGACTCTGGGTCCTTGATTTCCAAAGGAAATGCAGAACTTGCTTTCATCAGAAAACATAACTTTGGACCACTCAGCATCAGTCCAGTCCTTTTTGTCCTTGGCCCAGGCGAGACGCTTCTTGCGCTGTTTCTTGTTCAAGAGTGGCTTGACACACGGAATGCGACACCTGAATCCCATGTCTTTCATGAGTCTCCTCGTGGTGGTTCTTGAAGCGCTGACTCCAGCTGCAGTCCACTCTTTGTGGATCTCCCCCACATTTTTGAATGGGTTTGTCGTCACAATTCTCTGCAGGGTGCGGTTATCCCTAGAGCTTGTACACTTTTTTCTACCACATTTTTTCCGTCCCTTCGCCTGTCTGTTAATGTGCTTGGACACAGAGCTCTGCGAACAGCCAGCTTCTTTAGCAATCACCTTTTGTGTCTTGCCCTCCTTGTGCAAGGTGTCAATGATTGTCTTTTGGACAGCTGTTAAGTCAGAAGTCTTCCCCATGATTGTGGTGCCTTCAAAACAAGACTGAGGGACCTTTTAAAGGCCTTTGCAGGTGTTTTGAGTAAATCAGCTGATTAGAGTGGCAGCAGGTGTCTTCTATATTCAGCCTTTTCAGAATATTCTAATTTTTTGAGATACCAAATTTGGAGTTTTCATTAGTTGTCACTTATGAATATCAAATTTAAATGTAATGAACATTGGAAATACATTGGTCTGTGTGCATTGCATGAATATAATGTACAAGTTTCACGTTTTGAATGGAATTACTGAAATATTTTCAACCTTTTGATGATATTCTAATTTACTGGCCAGCACCTGTATAATTTTAAGTGAACCTACACTTGTTTCAACAAAGCTGCTGCGGCCTTTAGTGTGAACAAATGCCTTTTGAGTCTTTTTGTGGAAAAAAAGCTCTGGTGCACCTGCATCAGAAAGTAGAAGTCAGTCAGAGGTGTGGGGGGTGGAAAACGGCAGGATATTCATCATATGTGAACATCTCGCCTCTAATTGGCAAACCATGTGACTCTTCCGCTGCCTCCATTCGTTCTTTTTGTGTAAAAAATGCAACATTGATGTGTTATCTCCACAAATCACAGAAGCTTGAACATGTTCTTCCTTGCTGTGGAGTGGATGGCTTCAAGTTAAAGTCCCATTAGTTGTCTCCACATTTGACACATCCCCTCGGGGAGTGAGCTGCAGATGCAGCCGCGCTCGGGAACCATTTGGTGGTTTAATCAAATGGTGGTGTCAAGCGGGGAGGCACTGGGTCCCATTTTAAAGTCTTTGACCTGACCGTGGAATTGAACCCACGATCTCCCAGTCTCAGGATGGAAACTCATACCACTAGTCCACTGAGCTGAGCTTCTATAGCTGAGATAAGCCTTGCACTTAAAATTCTTACATCCTTTGGTGGTCGCAAGTGTAGCATCCACAAATGGTCAGTTTTTCATCTATATATTGGCCTTTTCAGTGACAGGCCATCTTCAGACACTAATGTGCATCTTCTAATCTTCCGAGCTGCAAGAAAGATTCTACAGTGCTGTTGACACTTAGACTGTCAACATCATGTTACTTCCTCAAGGACTCTCTGCCGAGCTTCACAGAACAAAAGATGAACTTTTAGAACTAAATCATATAATGAAATGAAATCAGATGATACGTGTCAAATGAAATGTTTGGATTAATCTGTGCTTAGATTAATAAGGATGAAATGAATGTGTTCTTGCAATGAACCATATATTTAATCAGTGTACGTGACTGGACGAGCACACACACACACCATATCTCCATGACGCAAAGTTAAAGTAATTGCATGCACACAGATTTTCTTATCCACAAAATCAGAGCGTCTTTTATCTGAGGAAGGTGTGGTTTCTGAGGTTTGTTGGCAAAACCTCCTTAACATGTCAAATTCTGATTTGTCAGTAAATCATAACAGAGGATTTAATAAAACTTGAATCACTTCCCGAGTTGATTCAGTTTGAGCAGAACTTCGGACTGGCCAACACGGAGTAAAACTCGCTGAACCACCGCATCTTTTGACAAGGTGTCAAAACCTGTTGCACGCTGCAGCTGACACAGCAAACGGCTCCTTCAGAGCATAGCTGACACCGCTTCGACTCTTTAAGAGTCTTTCCTTAAAAGTAAACAACTACCTGTTGTGACCTGGAGACAACTCAAGACCGCTCTAGTGGTGCTGCGGTTTCTCCAACGGACTTCTGTGCCTTGGGGTCCACGGACTTCCTGACATTCCGGATCTACAACGGGGGTCTCCGATAAAGGGTACGTAGGCGCGACAGATTGCGTCTAATGCCATTTTATAAACCATCACTTCTAGTTTATAGCAGACCAAATTCAATCACACTCAGAACTCAGTTTCTTCCAGATGCGAGGGTTCTGATAAACATCACATTCTATTATCACACAGCACCCTACAACACACACTCCAACACACACCGTTCTCTCATGGTTGTCATGTTTTATAATTTGTTTAGAAAATAAATTTCTTACTTTTTATAAACTTGACTTTGTCTGAATTACTACGAAGTGTACTTACGGTCCTTGAATAAACAAAGAATCTTAACTCTTCTAGTTAAATATTCATGGATCAATCAGGTTGATATTCTATAGTTATATGGAATCATCAAATCTTATTGATCATAATTAAAACCCCAAAATACATACGCAGGCTAACCCTACACAAGCCAAGAGGCCACGAATGCTAATTTTATAGGGTGACATGGAGCTGCGTGGCTTTTCTGACCCGGGTATTTCCCATTCATCTTCTTTTGGCATTCAATGCTGGAAATTAAAGCTAAAGATTACTTTTATGCTCTGCATAACTCAGTGACTGACCAGATTTCAGAAAGTATTACACGGTACCTTAGGGAACCTCACCTTTAATCCAATACTTGATTCTAAACGTTAAAACTTCAAAACATTTGATGGCATAACCCAGTTTTCATTATCCTTACCAGACCCGCCCTGAACTCAGGTTATTTATAGCTTCCAAAATGACATCTGCCTTCTGGTTAAAAATGTTCCTACTCTGCATCACCTTCTGAGGTGTAAAACGCTTGGAAGCCGGTGAATCGGCCCTCGTTAGAGTAGTCACTCCTAAAGACCACTGACATGAAGTTCCCAGCTGACATGATGATGGTGTTCCTGGGGCTGCTTTCATAGTCTTTCTCTTCCTCTCCACAGAACCGCAAGGTGTCATTCCCTTCAGCCAAAACCTGCTCGGACAAGGTCAGAGGCCTTTCAGTGACGCAGACAATCAGAGTTTTTTTCTTTGTTTGCTCGCATGTACCTGAATATAGTCATATTCACACTGGTTAGAGGGCTCCACGCTGAAGTGGGTGAAGTAGAGTTTAATCCGATGGCCGTGTGGGACGCTTACGTTCCACTCAACGTGCTGGCTGTCTGGGTATGGCTGGGGGAATCCAGGGGAGGTGAAACTGCCGTATGGCCCTCTCATTTCCACACTCCGTGACACACGAAGGAGGGAAAGCAGGACACACACACAGAAACCACTGGGTAGAATTAGACAAGATCAAAGCAGGTTTCAGGATTATTCTGGACAAATGAATATCTAATGCTCACCTGGTCATGCTTCTTCCACAGTTTTCTGATTAGTTTGGAGCAGTTCAGTCGGACTAGAGGAAGGGTAAATGAACTCAGCTGTTTCAGGCTGACATTTAGGTAAACAGAGTGAGACAAGCACACGATCAGTGTGTCGCTGTCCCTCCACCTCCTTCAGGCACAGGAATCTATCAGACAGATGTGCGTCAGAACTATTCATGTTCATTTTTGGCTTGTATCCGTCATCACATCCATGTCTAGAGTCAAAATAACAATTCAGGTGATAAATACGTTTCTTAAAAACATGAAACAATCAACACATTTCTGTCATTTTGCTAACTATTTAAGTCTAGTGGATTGATACCTATATTGTGTCAAAGTTTTCAAGTCATATTTAATTATTTAACTAAAATGGAAACCATCAATCATCGTTATTATACTTTGGTAAACTGGGAATTCAGACAGTGATGTTGATGAAACCGGACTTGTGGCCAATAACTAATTACGGTCGAGCATGCTTCTGTGATTGCAGAGCTAGGAAGCTGCAAAGTAACAGCCTCACAAAAATAAATACCACAACAATTTCCAGCTTTTTGTTTGCACCTAATTACTATTTATAGAATAGAATTGTCAGCAGTGCATAAACAACCATTTCTAAATAAGTCAACCCTTTTTCTTCTTATGTATCTGCATTTGCTCTTTGCAAAATGCTGTAGGGTCAGACCTTAGTGCAAAAGCTATTATATTAAGGGGATTGCAGAGTGTTTGTGCTGTCTGTTTTAATGGAATACGGATATTGTTGTTAGTTAGAAGCAACTGGAGCCTTTCAGCCTGCAACAGTTGTGTGATAAGTAGCTCGCAATAACCAAACCCCCGTTTTCCCTAACACAGACGCTCTAATGGCTGGTATTTGACGTGAATTACAATAATTATCCGCATGAATATCAATGTTAATTTCCATTATCAAAGGACCTTTTTGATGATGCTCCTTCTCAGGCATAACCTTTTATTTGCTCTTATTGTGAGCTAGAGGGATGTTAAGATGGTGCGGAGCAAACATATGGCAGGTGTTTACCCGTGTGGACGTCATCCAGCGTTTTTGGGCTTTTCTGATCCAGCATGATGCATCGACGCAAATGATAAGTTCATTAATAACAAAATTAGACCTTCCTTAATAACTTGGTAACAAATATATTACTTCATTAATAGAACGTGATTATTGTACCATTAAAGAGCAAGTCACCCCCTACCAGATTCTTACTCAACTCCCACTTCCTGTTTGAAAAATGCAACAAATGCTGTTGTCTAGCAGACCGAGAGGGTGGAGCCGCTAACAAATACACACACAGACAGGCTCACAATGATATTGTGACATCATATGGTACCAGCTGATGTTCTAGGGTACCTCTTAGCCAATAGTGATGGCAGGTTTTTAATTCAAATGCAGTGCAGAGTTTTTACCTGACAACGGCAGAACACTGACAGTTTTAGGCATAAAATTAAAATTTTAACTAAAATCCACCAAAGTGCTAAACTATTGACTACACGTGCCTGCAGCAAGATTAGACACTTATTTATATAGTTTATCAGAAAAAAAGTTGATTTGGGGGTGACTTGCTCTTTAATGTAAATGTATGTGTTCAAGAAAATAAAGGGAACACCAAGTCAATCACACTTCTGTGAAATCCAACTGTCCACTTAGGAAGCAACGGATTGACCATCAGTTTCACCTGCTATTGTGCAAATAGAATAAACAAAAGGTGGAAATTATAGGCAGTTAGCAAGACATCACCATTGAAGGAGTGGTGCTGCAGGTGGTGACCACAGACTATTGGTCCTATGCTTTCTGGCTGGTGTTTTGGTCTCTTTTGAATGCCGGCGGTGCTTTCATTCTAGTGGTAGCACGAGACAGCTTATAAAACCTACGCAAGTGGCTCAGGTAGTGCAACTCATCCGGGATGGCACATCAATGCGAGCTGTAGCAAGAAGGTTTGCTGTGTCTGTTAGCGTAGTGTCCAGAGCGTGGAGGAGCTACCAGGAGACAGGACAGTACATCTGAAGATGTGGAGGAAGCCATAGGTGGGCAACGACCCAGCAGTAGGGCCGCTGCCTCTACCTTTGTGCAAGTGGAACAGGAGGAGTACTGCCAGAGCCCTGCAAAATGACCTCCAGCTGGCCACAAATGTGCATGAGTCTGCTTAAACACACAAAGCCATGAGATCTTTTGTAGATAGATTCAAAACAAAGCTTTATGGAGATAACCTAACAGTTACAATACCACAAACACACTTCCCATTATTACTTCACCTATTGTTTCCAGTTTTGCCTTTGCTGAGTCTCGGACCAGGTTATAAATGCCATTTGTGTTTGTGTCTGAAATGTCAAATTAGAAGTAGGAAGGCAGTCAATCATTCTTAATGAACTGCTTGTTTGTTTTATTGACAGACCTTTTGATTGAACCAAACCTATTGTCTGCAGTTTTCATAGATTTGTACTAAAAAGTAACCTCATCCTTCTAAAAACGTCTATGGGCGTTGACAGCAGCAGCTTCCTCCTGTGCAGTCTCCGTGTGTGGTCACACACACAGACCACACATCGCTTTGAAAACCTTTCTGTAGTCTGCAAACATGCAGATGAAATGAAAGAATTGCTGAATTATATTTGAAAGCATTTCATTCAATAGCAACCAATGTGTATGGTGTAATTCACCTGCAGAAAAGGCATAAAGAGACTAATATGCAGAGGTGTCAAGGGAGGTTTCACCACTAGCCTGCACCTCCACTGGCAAAGCTAAGAGATGGTTCAAAATCATACAGTCCAGATATTTTGGATCAGCTGAAAATCTTCAGTTTTCAGGTCAAATGAATTAAATGAACTATTTGCATCGCTCAGAGAGTGGTGACTTGACATCAACTGCAGCCCTGAGATCTGGAAGGAAGGAAGGAGCTCTGTGTCAAACGTTTTCAAATGAAGAAATCAGCTCATGTCTAAATGTTTTATCTCTAAAGTTTGCTTTGTGTATGTTCCTGTTGTTCTTTCCTACTGGCCTTAAAATGAAATAGTGGTTTAACTAAAAAACAAGACAAATATGCTAAATTGAATTCCCCTGACACCTTCAGTCAAAAAATTCTGAATTATTTCCTCAAACTCTAAACAAGTTGAAAGTAAATTTGGTTTATTTTTCCCAATATTAAACCTGGATGTTCCAAGTCCAAATGACACTAAAATGTAATGCACATAAATCCTGACTATAGCTCTGTGTGCCACCAGGATTAAATTTGTGCTTAAATTACTTTTGTGCGTCATGAAAAATGCTCATTTGCACCAATCACACTCTGTGCTGGTTTTGTGCGAAACACGTGGATAATATACCAAAAGACACGGAGATGAATACGCACTACACACACACACACACACACACACACACACACACACACACACACACACACACACACACACACACACACACACACACACACACACACACACACACACACACACACACACACACACACACACACACACACACACACACAAACACTGTGCTCAGGTTGTTAAGATTTCAGGATGATCAAACCCAAAATCTTCATATGCGTAACACAGACACTGTGCTAGCAGCGCCTGTTTGCTGCACTGTGCAGTAATGAAGTGCTTCCTTATAGAAAGCCAGTCATTAAACACAGAACAGTCTGGCTGAGATCAGTAGAGTGTAACAAAAGCAATGTGGCTAGCACGGGAGAGTCAACAGAAGGTGGAGACGGTGATGTAGGAACGGGAAAGTTTCTTGTTCTTGTTTCACTCCAATTTTGTGTCATTTGCACATTTCTGCTGGTCCCTCAGCGACCTTGATGAGCTGTTTCCTCAGTTTGAATGAGGTTCCCTCGGGGCATCTTGTGCTATTGCCACAAGGTAGCACACTTGAGAGTATATACCTTCATTTTAACATCCCTCTGCAATCTTTGTCCTTTTTTCCTTTCCAATGGATGCAAGCTGTGCATTAGCAACTTCCCTGTGCCTGTAAATTGTAATCAAGGACCTGAATAAGTGGGAATGTGACAGTTGAACTAAACCTCAATGAACAATGCTGACTTAATCCACTGTAATTTGTTCATCTGCTACTGTTATGCAGCTTTCAGGCATCTACAACATACCTGCTGCAAAAAGAAAGAAAATATCTTCTAGCGTTTGTTTTTAATTTGTCTTAGCTTGAGTTAGCAAAATTGTACCAGTTTTTCATGGTATAGTTTCATGGTTTTTCTTCCGGCTCTTGGAGAGTACAGATGCTTTTTTCCTCCTCTCCTCCCTATCTTATCCCAAGGCTCTTTGTCTGTCTTTGGGTGTACGGTGCTGCTGCATTTTTTCTGGAAACTGGAAATGATTAAAAATGGATCTGGTCAGTTGGTCTCTCAACGCGACTGACAAAATTTTTTCAACAATGAGAACGGGAGAAGGGGCTCCCGGTTGCCCCTCTGGGACAGAGCCAGTTGGGTATATCATGGACTCCTAGAAACAGTGGAACTTGGTCTGCCTCTCCCAACTGTCTGTAGAGGATTCTGAAGACGTCTGGATATTCGTGGTGTTGGTGTCAGGTTTACTGCTTTTTGGCCTGGGCGGTTACCTGGCTTACCGGAAAATTAATGAGCTTTCGAGGAATATTGGCTCTATCCCGGAGCTCAGGGATGGATTACACCACGCCGTGAATGCACAGACTCATAATTGTCGAGATGAGTCGTAAGCTTGGAACTTTGGCTGAGATTCAGACTCTGGCACAGAAGGTGGATTCGATCAAAGAGAAAGTTGACGGATCAGCATGGATTGGGATTGATTAAGTACACCATTATTGGATTGAGAGGGGTTGAGGACCAATGGAACTTTAAGACAGAGAGGAAATTATCTCTGTCTGGCCCCAAAACCAGTTCTTTTCTGAATCTGGTGCCCTTGAGCCTGTGAGGCTGAAGTGATAACTCCTCCCTCAGAAAAAATGTGGAATGCTGCTGTCGCCATGGCAACTCTATCCCAGCCAGGGCGGGACTGCGACCGGTGAAGGCCGCTGAATCGTTCCAGGAGTCACTGTGCTCTCTAACCCAAATACCTCCTTCCCCTGTCCAAACGAAGGTGACGAGCGCTGCTTATCGCGGCTGCATGCACCAAGG